TTCACAGGAGTGGAAAAAAAGAAAATAAAGACTAGAGAGATGAAAGCAGCTCAGCCGTCTTGCCGTATTCAGTCTATCATGCAAAGGCATATTTCGCACTGAAGGAATTCAAAGATAGTCTCATTTGGTCGTCCCTTGGGTGTTTTTTCTCCTCTTTTCTTCCACTGGACACATCCTTTTTTCCTCCCATTGATCTTCTCAATAAATTGCTTACCTGCATTATCCGGATGAAGCGAAATGTTCTCTTATTGGTGTGAGACGAGTCAACGAAAAAAACAGCTAATGGCGGTTGCTTTGCAAGACTCGCTTAAACTTACCTGTCTTACCTTAGATTACCCATTGTCTAACTTCAAAAAAATGAAATAAAAGAAAAGAATTTCATATAGGGACCTCATAAGGAACCAAAATGAATACCTATACGAGTTTTACGAAAAGAACGCTGAAAATACTTCTCACTAAAGCGCGTAAACTACTCGGTGAATTTTGCAAGACGAAGCGTACACGGGAAGGCTGTCAAATTCTGTCGTTCGTAAAGGTTCGTTTCGGCGACATTCAGATCAAATAAATCATCTCCAACAAAGGATGAGCAAACTTCCATTTCTTGTGGTACAGCTGGCAAGGGAAAGTTTATTCTTAAGTCATTTCAAAGCCTGGAAATTGTAAGTCCGTTCGTCCATTCTTCTTCATCGGGGTCGCCATCTTGTGAACTTGAATCCTCATCTTCTTCTTCGCTCTCTAAGTCCATAAAAATCCACATCTGAATTGCCTAAATGTTCTTTTATTCCTTCTGCTTCTTCTTCAAAACCACATAAGCTGCTTTCATCTCATGAATCTTTAAATTCTGCCTCTAAATTAAATTTGTTTTCAACACTATTTGCTATGTTATGGTTGTTTTTGTGTCTCCGCGCGAGCGCAAAAATATTTTGAATTCACACCTCATGGATTTCCTAATTATAGTGAAAAAATATGCGCAAAAGGCGCCATCTGATTGGTTAATTAATGACGTTTATTGTTATGGCGATAAAAACAAACAAAAAGCCTATGGGGGGGAGGGGGAATTTTTTTTCTGGCACGTCCTTTTTTCGGGCGGTTTCGGGCGTCGTAGGAAATACGGACGGTTTTTGTTACGGGCGGTTTCGGGCATCGTAGGAGTCAAAGGGTTAATAAGTTCAGTAGACAAAAGACCTACAGAACTTTAAACAAATTTGTACAATTAATTTAGTTAACTTTTTCGCAGATATAATATTATGGTATTTACATTAGCTAATGAAGCTTTTCAAATGATTTCAAAACTAACCTTCAACTCTGAGCCAAGTGGAAGATACAACCATACCCCAGTCATTTTCAACAGCACATTGGAATACACCTTCATGTTTTCTCTGTATTTTCTTGATCAACAGTTTATTCCCATCGACTATGATGTGTGGAGACCTAAAGGAAGATAAGCAAGAAACAAAGTTGGAAAGGAATTGTTTCATTTGGTGAGATGACAACTCTACCTATTTATGGTCTTGCATTTTGCCATTATAACTATACATGATTGTCTAAGTTCAGACCCTATACCCCCCCCCCCCCTCCAGAGGAATTTGGGATTTCTGAGTGGTAGGGGGTCAAAGAAAGACCAGCCCCTGCAAGCTTCATAACTGCACACAAGCTAACACGGGTTAGTGCACAACACTGCTGCAATGAGCTTTTATTTTACAACTTACGGTTCTAAAAAATATTTCTTTCATGTTTTTTCCCCAGAGCTGGGGATGAAATTAGGTTTTAAACCCACAAGCAAAATCTTTTTAGTAACTTTTGTTCCCACTAGCAAAAATTTCAAAGTAACTAGTGATCATTATTGCAGCTACTGTAATAACAAACGTTATATACTGACAAGGGTTCTAAACCTTTTCTCCAAGAATCAAAAAAACTTACAATTCCGTGTCGGATGTGAATTCTGTGCCATCATGATACCACTTGTACTTTGGTGCAGGGTTGCCATAGGCTTCACAGAGTAAGCTAGCATCACCAAGAACAGGAACTGCCTTCATTTCAGGAGGTTTGACAAGCCACTCAGGTGGAACTTTAATATAGTGCAGAAAGAAACAATTAAAACTGACAACATACTCAAATCGCTTTGAAGTAGACTTTTCTAGCAGTTGATAAACACTGTGTGGGAGTACTCCATAACCATATTATTTATATCTCTTTTGAGTTTGTTATAATCAAAAATAATGTTTAAAGTAGATGTTCTACAGTCGAGCCTGCAATAAGAAATTCTTTTGTTTCAAGAATCATACAAGTGAGGTTATCGGGTTGATACAATGCTTGTTGTCTCATTTGCATTCATCCATAATAACTGATATTATTTTTGAGCAAAGCTTGGTTTCTGCCACCTCCCCTCCCCCTCCCAAAACTTGTCAAGATGGTGATATTTTAGATTCATCATCGTGAAAATGACTTTAATTCGTGAAAGGGATACAAACTTTTACAAATTACGAAATAGCAATGGTTTTTTTTTTTGTATGGATATAAGCAGTGCTTATTCAGGGCCTGCGTTTATTCAAGGGTGGCGCTCATTAAAATTTTAGTCTTAGGTGCAGCGCTTATTTGAAGGCATTGTTTAATCAGAAGTGGCGCCTAAACCAGTATAAATACAGAAACTGTGGTGGTTTTGGTGTGCCCGAGGAGGCTCAGCACAAACATTACAGGTGAAAAGAAAGTTGACTTACCATATACAGTTATCTTGATAAGTTTGGAGACCAATGGATTTCCTTGATTATTTGAAACCACACATTTGTAGTTGCCAGGTTCATGCTGTTCCTTAGATACCTTAGGGATATGCAAAACCCTTCCATGATTGGCACTTGAGATAAGAAATCCATCTTTCTGATTGATAATTTCTTTGGTCTCTTTATTGTCGAAGACCCTATACCATTTAGCTTCAGGAGCAGGCCTAATGAAAATGAATGATTATAATCTTTATCATTCAATTCTGCAAAGAAGGTGCATGAAAAGACCATGGCTGATATTAGACCGTAGAGTTTAGAGAGAGTTTGAGCATTTTCTTTGCAAAATTAGAAGATAAACTTATCAGTCTGCTAAGTATCTGATACGGCTGTGCATTTTCCTCGTCACTTCTATTTTGGCTAAGATGCTCCATGACTTATTAAAATACAAAGTCGTATCAGATGCTTAGCTAACGGTAGTATTAGCATGCTCATTGAGGATGGTAGTCACCAACGTCTTCAGTAGGTCTTTCACGTCCACCTTACACAGGGTTACAATATATAGTACAGATGGGACCTACGGTTTTATGTCCTTGTCCGAGAAGACTTGGAGGTGTAACCATTTGTAGATGTAATTACAAAGGCAGCACCTTATTTTCAGATATTTAAAAACCCCAAGCGTTAAAACGGCCGAGGCTTGAACCACGACGCGATTTTCCACACAACAGACGCTCTTACCAACTGAGCTAACCGTGTGGTTGTTAGGCTCAGTTGGTAAGAAGGTTTGTTGTTTGGTTTGTTAAAATCTACTGTTCAAAGTCAAATTTCAAAGTGAGTTTTATCAAAACGAAAGAAATTAAACTCTAGATATGTTGTCTGAACATTGGACATTGTTCATTAAACCAAGTTCACATTGTGAAGTTAACAAGTTTTGTACCAACGGAAGGTGACTTACTTTCCACTTGCTACACAGTGAAGAAACTTCTCTTTTCCTTGGACAGCTGTTTCCATTTGCATCGGTTCTCCACCAGTAGCAAATTTGGGAGCAAAGACAGAGTTATCTAACGAAAGAAAAGAGATTATTTATTAATCATATAGAGAAAGCAAGAGAAAGAAAGAGAGAGAAAAAAGTGCTTAAGATATTACGTACCAGTTCCAACAACCTGAAGGTTATATACATGAGAATGGTAGATGGTGTTACCGGCCTCTACAAAGCACTGCAGTTGTAAGTTGTAGGGATATTCACTAAGCTTTTTAATATCTTCTTGATCCACATATGTGAAGAATAAATCCCCATTGGGTAGCATAGCTATGTTATCTTTCATTTGAAGCTGCATTCCTGCTGTTGGCCGCTTTATTCCCCAAGAATGAATCGCTCCAAAGTCACTATGACCTACACCAGTGGTATGCTTTGGACATACGAGAGTCAATGGACGACCAATAGTGACACTTCTATTCTTTTGTACACTCTTGTCTTCCACGAAAGGTGACGTTGCTGGAACATAAAAACATGCAATCCGTCAATACGTTTACACTATCATGTTGAACAGCAAGTTCAAACTACAAGGATCAAGCAAGCCCTAATAGTCTGATAATCCTACTAAAAAGTTTTTACAACTTCATATTTAAACATTATCATAATGGAAATAGAGTACCAACGTGATGACATCACAAAATTGTTTTTAAAGACATTAAGAAACTGCATGTAAAAATATGATATGGTGCAAAATTTCAGACTGAGAGAGTGAAAAACGACTGAGATACAGTTAATATGAAAATATCCCCATACATTTTCTCTCATTTGAGGCTGAATCTAGCGTAATTGGATCCAGTCCAAAATATGAGCATAGGGCTTTTTGGAGCTTAAACACCCAATATCTCCATTTCTAAAGCTCATAACAGCCTTAAAGCTGCCAGAAATGTAGGCAATGGTGTGTTCTCTTCAAATATGAACATTTCAAAACTGAATTGCAAAATTTGATGACGTCAAATTTCTATTGTACTCTATTATATTATTTGCCAAAGGTGAAGTGATTATTGGTTGTCCAGGATAATCACTGGACCCGAAGTGAATAATTGTTTTAGCATAGTTTTAGATTTTGAATATCAGAGAAAGGACAAAAAATTCAGAATAAGAAAAGTTTTAGTATTACTTTCGCTAAACTGTGTTCATTGCATTGATTAAATGGTCATTACATTGCATTAAAAACAGTCTTTGGTAAACAGAACAACACATTTATTATATTGGTTATATTACCTGTTACTTTCAAACGAAGCTTCCTTGAGAATGTACCTCCAGCAGGATTGTTGACTAAACATTGATACTTCCCATCAGAAGTAGGTGAAAGTGTTTGAATAGTGAGATTAGAAAAATGACCTTCAGATTTTACTGTTTGATAGGGAGGAAAATTTATGAAATCTTTGTCATTTTGTTTCCACTTAAAGGTCATGTTCAATGAACCCTTCGCTTCGCAAGTAATGGTAAATGTTTGGCCAGCCAGAGCTTTATCTGGGTCGTCAAAGTCATTGGTTGGAAAGATGATTGTGGGTGGGATGAGGCCAGCTGAAATAAGAGATACCAAATAAGATAAATAAATATCGATAAATATAAATAAATATGAATAATGGGATTTAACAGTGACATCTCTACAAAGTGTCTATTCATCTTTAAAATATACTTTAATTTTAGAAGAGTATTTTTGCAGACGGAAGAAATCTGGAAAACATGAAAAGAGCCTTGAAGCACGGGAGAGAGTCAACAAGCAACTTCAAGTACCACATTGAAGGCCCTGTTACACGTTGAAACTTTTAGCTGAAACTTGTGTGCAATGGGGTTGCAATACAAGTTTTACTGGAGTGCTACATGGGGCAATTTCGTCTTGAAACCTGTTTGCAACACAAGTTTTAGTTCCACCAGTAGAAAGTAGTTCTACTTTTTGAAACTTTCTTGCAACAAACTTTTTACAAAGCATAATTTGCACCATGTACAACAACTCTGTGAAAATTGTCTTTCAACACTGTTGCACACAAGATCCAGCAAAACGTTTCAACTGTAAAAGCGCCTTGAGTTCTCAAGACTCTTCGACAACTCATAATCTTTTTATAATCATTTCAGTACTTATTGAAAACCCTGTTTACTTACGAACCTTTACTAATGTTTTTTCCCCCAACTCACTGCACCGTCCCCCTCACCACAAAATATACTAATAATTCACAAGCCTTTGAGTAATTAAAGTTGGTTACGCTTACCTGTTAATGTCCATGAGCAGACAATGACAAATAATGCTGAGAGGTAGAACCCCATTTTCAATCAAAGCCCTTGGAGCACTAAACAAAGATGAAAAATACACCTCAAAACATGCTAGCATCATATAGCTGTACATTTCTGGAGGTGTACAACTGCAGCATTTCTCAATTATGATGATCGTTATTGTAACGGTAGTGGGATTCCTGTGTTAGAGATGGGATCCCTGTAGGAATTGGGTGCCTTTGTGTAGTCCACCATGTTTGTAGTTATCTAAGATTAAACACCCGTTTAGAGGCCCAAATAGTGTTTACTCGTTATACAGCTTAACGTAACAGTTATGTCAATTATAAAAGGGGGCTCAAAATGCTCTTTCTTGAGCGTGCATGAGCTCCAGGGCCGATGAGGTAGGCATTGCAAAATGAACTTGCAAAAGGACATTTTTGTCCTCAAAAATTGTTATAATATTGAAACTGAAAAAACTCAAAAATTTCCTTCAAATTTTGCATATGGCTTTGGTCGATGTTTTTAAAAACTTAAGGAAAGATCAAAAAAATTCTGTGAGATGGAACTATTCGAAACAAATGTTATTGATTTTTATGAATTCCCTCTTTAAGAATTTTTTCTTTTTTGTCCCCCAAATAGAAAATTACAATACAAAGTTTAAATATTCAAGTTTTTAAAACAATTCACCATTTGGTGCCCAAGTTGCGATTTTTTAAATGAACAGTTTTGATGACAAAAGAAGGATTCTGATGTTATCATAGTAACGTTCACAGGAAACTTTTTCAATTTCCCAAATTTGGAACTTTGGGAAATTATTGGGAAATCACAACCCAAATTTGGAAAAATCTTGGGGATTTCAGAAAGGAATACAATTTTTTCACAATCTTGGATTTTGTTGCATTTTCCCAATCATGGGAATTTATGTGAATTTCCCATAAAAGTCCCAGAAATTACCCAAAAATTTGCCAGAATTGGAATCATAAAAAATTTCCTGTGGTTTACGCCATTTTTTCATGTTCATTGTGATCTTTGGTTTATGGTCTTTGGCTTTCCTGGTTTATACTGGCTGCCATATCATAGACATATCATTTTTTTTAGTTCATAAACTTGAGTGTATGTTAAGGCACAAAACACTTTCCAGCCACCTTAATAACAAAAATTATGATCAAATGATTAATATTCATCAACAGTTTTTCGGTCATAAAACTTATTATTTAGACAGTGTGTCTGATAGCATAACAGTTTAAGAATGTCTCACTAAAGTGTTAAAATGATGGACTTTAGAAAGCTAATTCTAATGTGCACCAATTTGAATCTAGGAGACCCAAAATTAGGTTTGACTAGCACCCCCACTGAGCAAAATAATACATTCAGTTTCTTAGCACTTTCTAGATTAGGAATATACAATTTTACAGAAATTGTACATCGCAGACATAAACAAATTTAATATGTTTGGGACATTGTTTACAATAGAAGAGAGTTCATTAAAAAAACTATTCAAATTGCATTATGAATAATTTTAAAGTCACGAAAATATGTTATGGTAAAGATGAAATTTTAGAAATATTATAAAACTGCATCTATAAATAATGATTTTAAAGTCGCGAAAATTGTAATTGTAATGATAGCAATAATGATAAACAAAGCATAATAAAGCTTGTAAAGCTCGAAGGGAAGCTAGGAATTTATCTAGGCAAGATTGAAAAGCAATCATCCGTGTCCAGGAGTGTCTGCAACCTTAGCTTTGAAAGAGCTTTGCTTCTGTAAATATTAAAATCACAATGTTGATAGCTCGGAAAATAAAACCCGGAAACTCTTCTATAAACTGTACACATTTTCACTCCAAATATCTCAAAATCATTCTTGCAGCGTGATTTTTCATCTATTCAGAATACAGTTTTGAATCTTTATTAAATAAGCTTAGCTCTCAAGATTTGTTTGAAGCGACAGTTTTTTAGGCGTAGTTTTTGGACCAAAGAATAAGCTGTGACCAATCGAGTATTTATTGAGAAGAAAAGCGTTTGGACTAAAAAATAATAATATTTAAACGGAGGGGTTCCATGTCGTTCAGCTATTCAAAGTGCATCGAATAAATGGGTTGGCGCCTGAAAATTAGGCACAAAATATTAGGAATCAATAGGAAACGATCACAATGTCTGGCAGTGAAAAATACAGTATGTTACTAAGTAAGGTAGGACAAACATGTGCACTGAAGGCTGTACAGTGGCTGTACAATTATCATACAACCAACCTGATTTGAGGCTGAATATCTCGAAAAATAATATACATCCTTCCTTTCTGTGACTTTTATCCTCATAACAAACTTTAGTAAAGATTATAGGATAGACGAATGCACATTTTTTTGGATAATTTTTGCGTTTCCTGGAGCTTTATCTCGTAAAAGGTCAGGCATAATGAGGTTCATGAACAACAGATTCGACGGTAAAGACTTTGTTTTACCTCGAGAGCAGCCACTCTAAAAATTCCACCCAATACCACTTGTCAGGACCTCACATAAACCTTAGATGTCCTCTCAAGTTCTTTAGACATTCGTTTTGACCGCATAAATTGATGTTTTAGCAGTAAATGATTTCAGAGTGAACGCTCCCAGTCAAGTCACGCCAAGTCAAGCTAACAGTAGAGGGATACTCTTTCAAAACAACGTACACATCTTTCTCCAAATGCCAAACTATTAATAAGTGAATCAGTGTACTGCTTATACAAAACCGAAAGCCTAGGAGCTTTGTGTTTTTAAAAGGACAAGACGCTATTGAAAACAACAAGCTGAATACGGCTGTTAGTAGAAACAAACGCCATACCAACTTGGCCTTTGTCTTCAGACCGCAGCCGAATTAAAAATTATCCCCTCGCTAAAAAATATTCTATCTTCCAGATCGACGTACCTGTAAAGTTAGATGCTCCTGAGATCGCAGAAAATACTAAAACACTAGACGTAAAGTGCTTAGAATTTTTTCTCTAGCTTCGTGCAACCGTCGGTCATTTGGAAGTCAGTTATAAGACAAGGGAATTTTGGGCGGTATCCCTGGACCACGTGACAAGAAATTACGTCATCTATGGAAACCAGAAAAATTATTCATATTTCAAGAGCTTTTCACTTTCTAATTTTAGATTTAGTACCGGTTTTGAGGTGGGCTAGGCCATGAGATTTTCTCAACACATTGGTATGATAGTATTCGTCATGATGATTAAAGTGAGTCATCTTTGGGCATTTATTTTTGAAGTCATGCACATATTTTTTTGAGAAGTGATATATTTATTTTTTCCACATTGTAACTAAAGTTTTCGGGAAATTACATTTTTTTTCTCTAAACAGATGAAACGTCCCAAAAGCTGCTTACCTGAAAATAAGATTCGAAAATACAATATAGTATTTCTAGTTTCCTTTCACTTCACTATATAAGATCAGAATACGTACATGAGCAAGTCAAATTCGGAAAGAACTTTGAACTGGCAAATGAAACTCGAAACAAAATACAGAAAACGCAATTATAACAACAGACATTTCCTAATACCGTAAAGAAAGCTTGGATTAAGTTAATTGTTACATTCTTTCTCTTTCATTTTTCGGTTTATTTTTAAGTTTCCTACTGTCAAAAATTACCAAGAAAAAACATCCAATTTACATTTTATCCAAAGTGGTAATAATTTACACTAAACCTGTCTAAAAACTCAGCTTACTTACTGAATATTTTGTTCAGCACTAGCTGTTCGATCGGTCTCTTTCAAATGTCAATATTCAATCATGTACATGTCACGCAAATGCATGAAGAGTATCGCTCTCCAGAGTTTGACTTAGTGGTTGATAACATTCCTTTTTTTCCGATACATCTGTTGATGTTAGAGGATCTGGTTAATTCTAATTATAAAGATTAACCTAATCTCTGACCTCAGTAGAGTAAATCTGGAATATCGTTCAGCATATTTTTGGTTTATCTTGGTTTGTTTAGACTCGTTTACTCTCTGTTCTATGGAGGTGCTACCAAAAATAGCGTCCGCTACCCGCCTGAACTCACCAGAATCGGTACAGTAGTAAACTCTTTTTGTTTGTTTGACAAATCCGTCAATCGTAGATTGGCGTCATCGATGATCCCCTAACGTTTTGACAATATTATTCAACACGAACATTTTATAGTCAAGAGACAAAGAGATTATTTGCTGAAATTTTTTACCTCCTAAACATGCTAAAATGATGGCGCGTAAACTAAAATGTTCCTTCCGTCTCCGACATCGAAGCACTGAAAACCACAGGAAGCCCATTATGCTAGACAATATTGTGGTTACAGTCTTCTTAGACTTAACGTTTTTCAAAAGATGCCTTAGTCAGAGTCGAGCGCTCATGCAGAAAGACCGGTGGCTGGGTGTGGTAGATGTTATAAGTAAATTGCAAATGTAATTAATACTTTACGTAGGGATGTTAACCGTTAATATAAATCGACAGCGAATATTTTTCTATCGATCATTTGATCATTCTCAATCATACAGTATCACCTTTACCTCTGCTTCGTGCCTTCAGAGAAGCGCTACGATTCGGCCTACAGTATTGGTTCCCCGATGTGCGCGCTGCATGGGGCATAACAGTCTATACTGATATTGCGCCCACTGCATGACTCTAGGCTTGTCACTACAGCAACTGAAGATCGATAAAGTTCTGGATTGTACTTTGCGTGGCTTTGGAAGACCTTGGTACTCACCACGATTTAACATTGACCAGCTTGGAGCTATCGATCGTAGCCAAGGTAACGAAGTACGTACCGCGCCGTTTAGTAGCCTCAATTAGCCTTCGAAAATCACGAAAACAATAGGTACAGACTAGGGATCAACAGAAATGACACTGTTATCGTTGCCTTGAAAAGGAGCCAAGAAATAATTTGATTTTAGATCAAGATAAGTCTGTTATAAATAGCTATTACAAATAAATATATTATCTTTCAAAACTTAAAATATATATCAATTGTATTCATAGCAGAATCAAGGATAATAATACCTGAGTTTGGCCTTGGCTACTTAAATAAATTATGGATAAATGGATGAAAGGAAGAAAAAAAGTCTTACCGCTCAAGGCAGTTTTTCAGTTATCAATTGCGAAGAAATATGAAAGCGCCGAATTCTGCTTAGCTCCAGTGCTCACAGATAATTGATGTAGTAGTGTGAAAACCAAAGCGTTTTTGTTTTCTTGAAGGCTGAAAACAAAATCTTAAAACCTTACTCTTACTTTCCGTAACAACAGTATCGGCATACTAGTAGTTTTGCGTTTCATTGTTTTCGAGCTCTCTCTCGCAACGGAAATGTCAGTCATCAGTTGATCAGCTATAACATACAATTCTTTCCTAAAATGTTACAAAAAAACCCCAGCCTTAATCTAAATTACTATAGCACTCCAAGACTTGCCCTTCCGTTGCGAGAAAGCTCGTAAACATGAAAAACAAAACTACAAATTTGAAAACGGAAGCACCACTTCAGGATGAAATGACACAAATAGTTTTAGTTTTCGTACAATTCTCTCGCAACTGTAACGCAACAGTCTTCTTAATTAAATGTTGTATTTAGACTTCGTTTCCAAAATTACATAGTTTGTTATTGTTTTGAGTATGTAAAGTGACTGTTATGCAAGGAAAAATGGATGCCGTTTCCTGCTTATCGGTTTCCCATTCCCATTTAATTAAATCCCACTTTCCATGGCTTCAAATCCCATTTGATCTGAGTGCAACACTGAAGCAAAGTCCGGTAGTCTATCTCTAGCTTTTTTCTTATAATGGAAAAATAGAAGAATAATCGAGCACAATTACATTGTTTTAACTTGTTTTGCTATTTAGAAACTGACCAAGCCGATAGGAAGAAACAAAGGTTGAAGATCTGAGCACGAATCGTACCGTTCATCATACCGTGCCTTGAAATGCAACTTTCTAGGTTGAATTAGATCTGAGCACAAATTGTACCATTGTATCATACCGTGGCTTGAAATGCAACTTTCTAGGTTGAATTAGATCTGAGCACAAATTGTACCACATTGTATCATACCGTACCTTCCTGCTTGAAATCCAAGCTTTCAGGATCTACGATGGTTAATAAAATATCGCGCGACTTTAATTTGTTGGAGCCTGTTAACTCAAAACATGTCTAATGAGTGTCCTGAAACCAGGAATCAAAATATACATGAAACCTCCATAATCCCCCAAGCTTATAAATTTTAATTGCTCCCCAGTCAAAACACAGATATGACAGATATTATAAGTTACACATATATTATAAGTGATGGAGTATAATGGCTATGCGCAAGACAAAACATCCGCTTATGAAGCAGATGGGAACAATATTTTGACTCGAAGTAGGTCGCCCATGGCAATCGTCCGACACTATAATTAATAACCTACTATGTTATTGAAGGTCTAGAAATCGCGCGCATGTGTCTGTACTGTGATATAAACACGCTAGGAACTGTAGTCTGGACGAGAGAAGCAAGCTTAGGAAAACGAAGCCTAGCCGAGTGTTTCTCTCACTTTTCACGTGCTCTACAGCTCCCAGAGTGTTATATATTCAGTTTACAGAGACATAATCAGCCGTTTTATATTCCTTATTATAATAAAATAATTGGGATAGTACGCGCGCTACAATTGGTCGAAAACCACGTTTGATGAGGGTATCAAAACACGCTTGCGTCATCCTTTACAAATACATCAGAATGATACGATATTTTTGTTCGTTTTTTGGCGTGTTTGTTATTTTATAAAACAGATCAAAAAACAGTTTTCCGTGTTTGATACTCTGATCAAAACACTTGGGATGTTGGCAGAACACTTGAGAAGCTGGAAACCACTCTGCTACGCGTCGTGGTTTCCTACGCTCCTCTCGTGTTCTCTCAACATCCCGCGTGTTTTGATCAGAGTATCAAACACGGAAAACTGTTTTTTGATCTGTTAAATTATATTTTTGATTTTGAGCGAGCGTGCATCTGATAGCCAGCTAATAAGCGCGCGCGTCATATCTTTTAAGCGCTTGTGTCTGTACTGCGATATAAAAAAGCCAAGTACCTGTAGAGCACGAAAGAAGCAAGCTTAGAAACAAAGGTGTAGCCAAACGTTTATCTTGCTTTTCGAGTACTCTATAGAGAAATAAGTAGCCCTTTTATATTAATTACTTTTTAAAAAGATTTTTCAAAAATGGAAGATTTTGCGATAAACAATATTACCAGGAATGGTTTCACTTACTTTAGTGAGCTTGTTTGTCGAAGCCTTTCCTGGTCGTAAACACGGATTAGCTCTACTGACAACAGTTGGTAACACATAAGATAAGCTTTATATAAGCTTGTTTGCCGCCGAGCGGATATATCAAACAAGCGTTAGACAGCCAATCAGCGCGCACACATTGTGTTAGTAGCTAAATAGTAATTAGTCTTGAACTGATCATTATTCTGAAGTGAGTACCTGTGAAAATATACCAAAGGCTATAGATCATGTGCTATAAGTGAAGTCGGAGAAGAGAGAGTGTCAAGAAACGAGAAGTCAAAGTTATAGTCGAGATATTAATAGCTAGTTCTTCATTGACGAAGATAGGATGAATTTAATTTACATGAAGATATAGAAATATAGATAAGTTATAGTGCTTAGGAACGAGGTTATTCCGGGTGCTTTCGCCCGGAATAACCTCGTTCCCAAGCACTATAACTTATCTATATCATCTATATCATCTATATTTCTATATCTTCATGTATTTTATAAGTGCTACGCGGTCCATATATTCTCATCTTTCAATTTAATTTAGTCACGACCAATGTCGATCTGAATCCGTCAGAGTCAAATAATGCTCGATCCGTGATTGTAGGGTTTAACAAGAGTTTAGCATAGTTAACTAACCCATGCAGTCTGCAAGCCAATTCGTACAGGGTGTCGACCAGATGCAAATATCTGGGAATGTTTTGCGTGCTGTAGCAGAAATTAATGACCTTCAACATACGTAATTCATGTAACAGGGTGTGACATGACCCACTGAATTATTGAGGCGAGGCCAATGTTTTGTCTCGGAAAAAACATCAATTACAAAGCTGTCAAATTTGGAGGCACTCTTGTTGAGACAAACTGGCTTTATGCCATTGATATGATATCAAAGAAAAACCGGGTAAGAAATCCATAGTAGGCGGCTTGAGTTGCTGTTGTCACTGTTGCTGCTATTGTTGACGTTTTTGCTGCTGCTGTTACTTTTGCTGTTATTTGCTGCAGTTTTTGTTTCATGTTGTTATTGCTGTTCTTGTTGCAGTTGCTGCTGTTATCCTGAATAAACGACGAGCTAATACCAACCCATGCTTAAGTGCGCACTGTAGCATTGAGTCGTCAAAGAATTAATAACGATAAACGGAAAGTAAATAATAAGCGACTATAATAAAGCAATAAGTATTCAGTAATCAATCATTTATAGTATTTACGATATTTTTTTATCCTGGGCTGGTGCATTAAGGATCAAAAGTTTCCGAACTTAACACAACAATTTTTTCATTTACTTTAGAATCTTTAGCAGTATTGTCTTGGTTCCCTGTTTTATCCATTTCTTCTTCAGTGGATGACAATTTTAAATTTCCAATTTGTATTTCTAAGTGTTCATCTTGGGAGTCCTCTGAGTCACTCGTGGTTGAGCTGGTTTCAGAAGATTCTGTTTCTTCGTCGCTAACTTCACTACACTCTTTGGTGTCTTCTTGTCCTTGTTCTTGTTCTTCTTCGCTGTTTTCGTCATTATTTTCATTCTCTTCGTTCACTAACAAGCCAGCTTTTTCCAGCTCCTCTAACTGCCATCCAAGGTCCTTTTTAGTAAGATTCATCTGTCCCAAAACATAAACGAACAATGATTAACCCTTAACATTCATTCACGCAACTATGGAAAATAAAATACTTATGGAAAGTATTGGTAGTTTTATCCCTACTCATGAAAACCTTTACGTTGGGCGAGTTCACGGCAGCAATGTTAGAGAGGCTTTACCCTATCTATTCCTTACGCTATTCATCTGTATGTATGTAGTTGTTAAACTTGCATTTATCGAGCTTTGCATTATGTAGCGAGCAAATGCTCATGTTTCCTGGAGAAATTCCCATAATTTCGATCTTCGTACCTTTTGTAAATTCTGCGCAAGGGACTTCAGTTTCTTTTTGCTGTTAAAAGTACAAAAATGCATCTGTTTATGCTGTAGATTTAAGAAATACTAAAGCTAGGGCTTTCGTTTAAGATACCCTGATTTAAACACATGAGATGCTGAGAGAATACGACAAAAGCTGTAAAACCACAATGCGAAAACTCTCTACTAAAATGACCGACATTTCGATCAATCAAAATGCACATCATTCAAAATCATAATCCTTACAGCGATACTAGAGAAAAACGTTCGCGCATGCGTGAATTTCAGGATTTGAGAGTTTTAGTGAGAAAATAAATGTTTGTTTTCTCCAAGTATACAAATAAGTTCGCTGGTATACTTTTGTCAGACCAAGATGCTGTATTAACAAACACAATATGAAAGAATTAGCCTTAAGTTTCAAGCATGGACACTAAGTTTTGGCATTTTGTGAAGTCAAATTACTTGTATGTTTGAAAGTCAAATTTACATACGTTGTTACTAATTTCCATTCGGATTCAGAGCATGCGCAGACGATTTTCACTCGTTTCCCTTAAAGTAAATATCATTCATAAGAACAGAATTCAGTGAATCACGTGATTCGACGAAGTGATTTTTTTCTGGCATTTTATTGGCTTTCTGCGTAATCCACTTTAGTGCGAGTGAAAAACAAACGCATTCATTTCTTTAATTATTTATTATTTATTTATCGGTGGTAAATGTTACTAAATCAAATGTTTCCTCATTCTCATTCACCTAATGCGTCTCTGAATAACAGTTACAGGAGTAAATTTAGTTGGCGAAGCTATGAACTTCAATAAAAATAAAATAATATGGATATGTGGAAAAGTTGGGCCTGCATGTAAGAACCTTCCTTTACAAATTCCAGGAATTTTTTCCAGGATTTGCAGAAGTAGCATGAGTAGCAGGAGCCTTGAATGTGCAAAATACCTGATGGTTTGGATCCACACACAATAATCAGTGATATACAGATCATTTAATATGTAGCGAGGATCGTCTTCATTAAACAATCCATGGATTTCAAGTAAACATTTGAGTAATCTTCTTTTGCCTAGAGAAAGAGTCGAAAAATAATTTCACATTATAAATGAATGGAAACGAGACCAAGGAACAAAAGGTGACTATTGGAAATTGTAGCGAGATAAATGAGTGAATAGCAGTTATAACCTTACACTCTGTTGGCTTCAAGCAATTGTATCAAGTCGAAGAATTTGGGTCAACATTACAGTAAATGTATATGAACTGACCTAAATGAATTGAAACAATATTCTCCAGTTTCGAGTTCTCTGTTGCTCAGGCTTAGCCTCGAACTCGGTTCAAAGAGTTGTATTGTGGGAGTCGTAAATATTTCACCGTTGGAATTTGTGAATATTTAGACACTGATTCGAGGTTAACCCTGAGTAAATGAGTCTGTAATCAAGAAATACAGAACAAAGAAGTAATTTGGAATTCGAAAATAGTTTTTTGTTTGATCTGAAGACCGAAAGTTAGTGCAACTTTGATATCTGCCATAAGGACACTTAAAGAAGACAGCGTAAAAGAGTTTGAAATATTGCTCATGTTTTGAACGTTACAGTCTTTCGTCAGAGTAAGAAGAAAAGAAAAACGAATAAGATGAGTAGAAATTACTTCATTGTAAGAATATGCGTGTCAACGTGAAATATAAAAAAAGGTTTTACCTAAAGCAAATATCTTTTTAGTGTCCTCTAGTACAAGCTGAACAAGATTCCAGTTACGGTGAAGAGGGTAGCATAAACAACGACGATAACAGGATGTAACTACGTCATTTATGTTGGTAAACGTCTATGGGAAGTAATGTTAGAGAGCCGGTTAATGTTTAACTGAAAACCCACCACACAATTTGCGCACTGCTGATTGGTTTATACACAATACTGAGTTCATAGCTAATCACCAACGCAAGTACAGCAGTGATGCAGCTCAACAGGGTCAAACTGTAAACAATGTAACTAGGCACCCCTCTTGCAGCTGCTATATAGTCCATGTATGACCCCAGAGCACAGCTCTAACTAGTTTGAATTAGTTAGGGTTAGTTTGAGAGAAGTGCGAGCTTGTAGCGATTTGAAATTGCTGCAGCGGCTTTTGCTGCCGGCGCGCAATAGTTGCATATTTTTGATTTCTTGAAAATTAGCAAGAAGTCGGGTTAACTGTAGAGACCTCAAAGACAGTTGAAGTCATGTCACCCTATTTTATCAATCATCGTTTCAGTCATTACTTATGAGGATCGACAAGTTATGGCTCCATATTTTCTTGCCTGTACAGAAATTCTCACAACAACTTAGAGGGGAAGAAACCTTGTTGTGAACTACAGCACTAACACTTATTACTCACCTCAAAATAACAAAGTGTTGAACTTATTTTGTTGATGGTCCATCCAGATTCAACCTAAAGCACAAATCAAACAAGATTTTCAAGATTATACTGACATCTTTTAAACTGCCACATCAACACGTGAGAAGACTGCTTATCCAATCAAATACTCGGACATGGCACGTGACACAATGACACGTGAGAAGACTGCTCATCCAATTAAATACTCGGATATGGCACGTCACACAGACACGTGAAGACTGCTCATCCAATTAAATACTCGGATATGGCACGTGACAATGACACGTGAGAAGACTGCTCATCTAATCAAATACTCGGACATGGCACGTGACACAATGACACGTGAGAAGACTGCTCATCCAATTAGATACTCGGATATGGCACGTGACAATGACACGTGAGAAGACTGCTCATCTAATCAAATACTCGGATATGACACGTCACACAGACACGTGAAGACTGCTCATCCAATTAAATACTCGGATATGTCACGTGACAATGACACGTGAGAAGACTGCTCATCTGATCAAATACTCGGACATGGCACGTGACACAATGACACGTGAGAAGACTGCTCATCCAATTAAATACTCGGATATGGCACGTGACAATGACACGTGAGAAGACTGCTCATCTAATCAAATACTCGGATATGGCACGTCACACAGACACGTGAAGACTGCTCATCCAATCAAATACGCGGATATGGCACGTGACACAACACGCGAGAAGACAACACGTGCAAAGACTGCTCATCCAATCAAATACTCGGACACAACAAGTGAGAAGACGTGACTAACGTTTTCGTGGATAATACATACCGTGTTCTCCCCTTCAGTTGTGCGATGATTGTAAGCATAAGCAAAGATAATATCAACCAGACCTAGCAACAAGCTTAGCTGTACTGGTTCATCCAATATATCTGTGTAATATTAGTGCAGTTAAAAACAAATAATCAAATAAGCAGTGAGAATTTTTAATTGAAGCACAGTACACCGGCAGTGGTGAAACGATATATTTTTTTAAAAGTGGGGGCGAATCTCTGGTCTTCTTCATAAAGGAACTCAAATGAGGATAAATAAGTTGTTATTCTTGTAAAACGTGTGTGTGTGGGTGTGGGTGTGAAAGAGTGTTTTTTATTTGACAGATGTAGAAGAAGTGGAAATTCAAACAAGGTCTTGATAGAGGAACAGAGGATAAAAAAGGATACATTCCTTGTTTGGCAAATGTCTCAGGTTATCTTTTTCTTCTTCAGTAAATAGAACTGTAAAATACATATGAATTATTACAATTGTGAAACAAATATTGTAATACAGTTGGGTTTAGTTTTTTCCCTGTCATGAGTTAAGTTGTCATCAAGTACCTTTTGTCTCATCTGCTGGAGTAAATTTAGATTTTGAAAGGTTTCTTGAAATTGAAAACAAAAAATGAATTAATGACGGATTGTATTTTTTAATTATTTCTCAATGCATGTATTTAATGCTAACATACTTAAGTTGTTCTTCTTCTGCACTAAGCAAATTGTCTGCTGATATACTCTGAAAATATAATAATTTAAGTGAAACAAAGTTAAAATTACCAAAACCAGCACTATCTTTGCCACTATCACTATACTATCACCATCAATATACCAAAGCCTCCACCACTGTCTCCACCACAACCATAACCACTATAACCATCAATATACCAAATCCTTCACCACTGTCTCCACCACAACCATAACCACTATCACCATCAATATACCAAATCCTTCACCACTGTCTCCACCANAACCACTATCACCATCAATATACCAAATCCTTCACCACTGTCTCCACCACAACCATAACCACTATCACCATCAATATACCAAATCCTTCACCACTATCTCAACCACAACCACAACCATCACCATCACCAGCCCCACCACCATTACCCCTACATCAATTACCACTATCACCACCAAAACCACTTCCCCTACTACCATTATCACTCACGTCAACATCATGGCAACCATCAACACTACCTCCTCTTACATTATCATAATTTTCATTGTCATCGCCAGCCAACATCCTCCTTTCCCTCAACATATTAAGAACCTTCCTGATTCACATATTATGATATACTATATAAATTATTATGATAAACTTAAGTTGATCCATTAGATAATTTTACCTTCAGTTTTTCCTGATATTCTTTGTATTCCTCATCCCATGGTGGACTGTACTCTAGAAATGGTTGTATAGTTTCTTCATCAAAGAAGTCTGCACTGTCATTAAATAAACAAGTCATTACTATTACAAATATAAGCCATTCATCCAATTCTCTCAGCTAAGTCCTTCAGGGGTTGATCAAGGAAGAATACACTTATCCAGATAAACTTTCAATAGGTTTACTTCAAACCAAAAGAGACACCATTTTTCATTAATTTCTACCCTCTATGGGTTTCCTGTGGTATTGGCATAGGGTACCCATCCCATATTGAAACCCTGAATCTGCTCCCGTCAATGAAAAGATAAGAATAAATGAATTTAATGACTGATACTTACAAATAATGTCCAGGGTCAAAATTGAGGTCTTCAGCTGCTAGACGAGCAAGTCTTCTTTCATGGAAGCTAATGGATTCTGGATCAGGCACATCAGATATTTCATATAGTTCTTCCTTTAATAAATATTTAAGAACAAATTTTAAAATTAAAAATCTTTGAAAGCCATTCAGTAAGATATGAAGATCAGTAGATAAGGAAACATGTAAAAAGAGAGGAGTAAGGAAATTGAATGATACTAAAACGTATTTTCAGCTGGAAAAAGTAAAAAAAAAAAAAAGATAAATAATAAATAGATAAAATTAAAGTAGATCTGGCAGTGGCAGTTATAATGATAGACCGAGTGCTGTACAAATCCAGTGACCTCTAAGGCTGATTAGTCGTACTATGTCGTACCTGGCGCTTATCAAAAATCCCCTTCTTTTTGTTTGCAAATCCATATTTTCCTTCTTCACTTTTACAATCTAAATCCAGTGAAACATCATCCTATAAAAGAATAATAGTGCATAAACATTTAAATACTAGATATTTTACATAGAAAACAGTGGAGAAGAGAAGCAAAGGGAAGAGAAAGGAAGTGAAAGGAAGGAAAGGGAAATGAAGGAAAATGAAGAAAATAGATTGAGGGGGAGGTTGGGGGAGATGATGGAAATAATTAATATAATAATAATAATAATGATGATGATGATGATGATAATAATAATAATATAGTTCTAGCTAAATATTCACAGATACACTTGTATATGTGGTGTAAAGGAAGTGGAGAAATGAGAAATGAATGGTTGGGAAAAATAAGGAGGGAAGGAACGGGACTGGAAGAATAGAAAGAGATGTCATGTGTTACCCTGTATGTACCTCACAAAGAACTTGCTCAATTTCCCAATCAAAATCACTGTTTTCATCACTGGAATCATCATTTATTTCTGATGGTTTGGAATCATCTGAAAGAAAAACAGAAATCTTATGGAAACCAGAAATGAAAATAAAATAAAAAATAAAAACTCTAAATCAGCCAGGTTATTATAAAATAAAGGAATAAAATAAGAAAACTCTCCATCCCATACTAACCATTAATAACTTCAATCAAGGGTTGATTCATCTTGGTTTTTTTCCTTGGAGAAAGCAAGGAAGTCAGCATGTCCAGCCCCTCAAAGTGCTCACCTTGGTGAAGCTTGGGGAGTTTTAAAAAAAATATTACTAAAAACACTAAAAAAAAAAAAAAAAAAAAAAAAGACAATAATGAAGAAACATCACTTTTGCATTAAGGAAACAGGGTCTTACAGCTGTAGATAGTGGTTAGGCAGCAGTGCACTCACCTCTCGCCTCTGGGGTCTCAGGTTTGATTCCTGGACTCAGCATCAAATGTGAGTAGAGTTCATTAGGTCTCGCCTGCCCTATTGATTCAAGCTTTTTTTAGCTTATGCCAACATTTGATCATATCACATATCACACATGACCAAGTCTGGTAATGCATTCCATAATGTATTCCACAATATACATGTACTGTAGATAGAGCGTATATTTTACAACCATCGCTCCCCACAAGGGGCTAGCTCTTCCATAAGCTATTGTCCCTCATGCACTACCGCTAGATCCATTACAACAGACAACACTAAACTCATACAATATGTAGTTTTGATGTACCTTTCTCGACATCATATGTTGCACCCTCTTGGCCATCCTCAACGATCTTACCAGGAAGATTAAGCCTGCAAAATAATATTTAACAGTTGATCAACATTCACAAAATGCTATTCTCGTTCAATGGCTATGATATACTTAAATATGTATAACAAGGACTAAAGGACTTAAAACTGTCTGTCTTCACTATATAACCCTGTATAAGGCGGACGTAAAAGATATCCACTGAAGACGCTGGTGATGACCATTTTCAGTGCCCGTGCTAACCGGCTGCCTTATCAATTGGGTCGCAAGGCCTGTTAGGCATCAAGCCGTCCACCCAGGAGTGGTAAACGCATTAGATTAGATTAGAAATATAGTAATAAATGCATATGTGTACTTTACCTTAAGAAGTAAGGTTTGACATAAAATTTAAACTCATTTCCATCAATGAAGAAATCAACATCAGATATCTAGAAAGAATATAAATTGTTAAATCTTGATTGCTTTCAACTCAAAACACGAAATTATTTTCTGTAAGTGAGTAAGAAAATGTGTCAACTTCAAAGAGTCTACAATAATCAAATATTTGATAGTAAAATTTGACAAGGCTTTAATTCTGGGTACTTCACTTTACTTATCATAACTGGAAAATATGAAAATGTGTACAATAAATATCGTAAGATATAATGATTTTTGATACAGTAGTTACTTTAGATATTGGATATTTTACATTAATGTTGGTGATCAGTTAACTTAAATTTTCCCTGCTAGCAGAGCCTATTTTCCTTTGGTCGAAGGGAGAGAAAGAGAAGAGAGACTCTGCTAGCAGGGAAACTTAAATTGCGATGAAAAAAAAAAAAAGATCGTAGTAAAAATAAATTTCTAACTTCTTTCTAGACCACGTGCTTACCTTGACGTATGGTGTTTTGATGGTAACGATGACGAAATTCTCGTCTTGACTTAAGTCAAACGCTGGAGTTAACATAATGATTTCAGAAAGTATCTACAATACTTATACTTGGGATCATTTGAGTGAAATGTTTAGCAAATAAAGTCACTTTGAAAACAGAATATCTTCTTGGCCACCATTTTGAAGTGTTATCGTTCCCAGGTCACATCGGGCTTTGTAACCACAGGATACCCAAAACGAACAGTTCAAGCGATAACCGGTGCACACTCCCTGGTTAGGATATCCAGATTGCCACTCCAATTCCATCTGCTTAGAAACACTGATTTTTGCGATTTTTTCTTTTCTTTTTTTTTTTTTTTTTTTTTTTTTTTT